CCTTGGGAAAAAAACTCAGGACTTCTCTTGTTTAACTTTCTGCTTGCTTCCTGAATAGGAAAAAGAAAACTTTCTTTAAATTATTCCCATGGTAAAGCAAAGTAGAGAGTCAGCTTTTTCTCAGATGTAAGAGAATATCTTATGTGGTTTATTGCGGGAACATTAAAAAAAGTTTTACATTATTTAGAAGAGCCAGAGCAGAGAAAAATAGCACTTACTTAACTTCCTTGGGAAAACATTTTGACCCCACCTTAAACTGCAGAACATTCAGTGACTCAACATAATAGCATATATTTGGAACTCCTCAACTCCTAAAGATTGCACTACAGACAAGGAAGCTGCAGAATAATTTTACATTCTGGATTATCTTAAATTCATATCCATCTATTTAAAATCAGAAAAGTTTCATTAAAATAGATGTACATAAACATTTAATTCAGAATATTACAAAGGGTAAAAGCTGGCTTGAAACTTCTGGGATCTTGAAAATTCTTGATAAACAGAATTAGTAACCTTCCAAGCAGCTTTGAGAAAAAATATCTCTTTTTATCAGAAAGACATTATTGTCTTCTGGAGTAATGGGAATTAAGATTTACTTATGCAAAAATGCCTTGAGTTCCTACTATGACAAAATGTGATGTAGGCTATAAGGGAGTATTAGTCACCTACTATACTTATTTATAATATTTCAGGACACTCACATGGGCATCTGATTAAAAAAGCCACATTAATTTGTTACCTTATCTGTTAATAAAATGGACGGTTTAAAACAGGCTAAAGCAAACATTGTGTATGCAGATGAGACTAATTCAGTTCTGAGTATAAGAGCATTTCCATCATGTTGTTCTGACTGTGGCTAGCACAAGAACCTCTGGTGTTTCTGTTCCCTTCATAGCTAAAGGCTCTCAGGCTTCAGAGTCCCCTTCAGTGTGGAGGAAATGGAGTAATGTTACAACTTTCCATTGCTTCTTCCAGCATATACATGTCAGAAATTATCATACATTTCCAAGTAATTTGGTGATCAATAATACTTGAAGATCTTGCAATTCTCAAGGGTAAATCTGACTACATCAGTCAGACAATTTTAAAATTGGTATTATATTTGAAAGTAAATATGAAACAATGGAAAAAACGAATAGAGAAATTATAAGGAACAGCTGTTTTTGAAGTTATAAAAAAACTCCATGCACAACATGAAGGCAAATAATATCCTGCAATTCATGAGCAGGCACCAACAGGCAACTCCTAGCCTAATTACTGACCTAGACTCTTCCTTTACATCACTACCCTACAAAATCAGGCAGAGTTATTTTGGAGAGATTAACAGACTGATCATTAACTGAAAACAGAAATTACTGTAACAGTAAACTATTCAGCATTTTATGATGAAAACGTGTTCTCTGAAAACAGAATGCTCTTTAGCATACAAACTTCTCAACTGCTGATTTATTTTCTTTGCATTTTCTTTTAGAACAGAACACCCTAAAACAAGTTAATTTAAGCTGATGGAGAGATTCAAAACAACTGCAGCAGAGCTAAGGTATGGATTTGAAATCCAATGTAAGATGATTAGAAGCCCATCATACAGAAACTTTCTGAAAGCACTGGATTTGGATACATTTCGTAGCCATACTGTTTAAAGCAATCCTTTCAGAGTTGTCTCCTCAGCTGTTCCTTCTGGATGACCTGCCAGCAAATGAACAGCAGCAGCAGTCCTAACAGCAGTAATGGAACCCTCTGGGATCAGTGCATCCCAGAATTTTTCTCAGCATTATCATAATAAGAACATCTAGATTTTGTACATGTATACAGAAATAAAATACAGAGAGCAATTTTAGTGGGAAAAAAAGCAGAGAACACACAAACTGACAAGGTAAGCCTGTGAAGGCAGCAGCATGGCCTCCAAATAACAAAAAAAATAGACTACAGGAGAATTTTCTTCTAATAAGATATTGGAAAAAGAGTCAAACTGTTTCATATTTCAAGTCATGTTTCAAAAAATTAAGACCTGATTACAAGAAAGTAAAATAATATTTTTAGGAGAAAATTATCAGCCCATGCATTCCAAAAATGATTTTTTTAAAGCTGTCTTTTAAAACTTCTAAATGGTATCTCAATTTTTTTTCTTGGTCACTATCCAATCATGTTTCAATTATTACACAACTATCAAGCTTTGTGGTTGATTAAACAATTAAGCAATTTAAAAGAAAATTTAAGTCTCAAACTTAATCTTAAGAAGATTGTTCTGCAAGAAAATGAGAAGCAAAACCAATAACCTTTATAGTATCTTTTAAGTTTTGAGGTTAAGCTAATATCCTGCATATTGAGGTTGTTTTTATTAGCTCAGGTAAAGCTCTTATGCTAAAATTAAAAAACTTTGAATGCAAAACAAAAAGCAAAGTTCAGTTTTAGATAATGAGAAAGCAAGCAGAATGCCCATAGTCAATTTGCCTCCTTCAAAAAAGAGAAAAAATTGGTTTTGGTTTTAATTTAGTTTCAGTGCCATATCCAAGTAAATAAAAGAGCATTATTATTTTTAAACATACATTTTTTCATTCAAAAATGAGAAAAATACTTATAATAGAGAAGAATCAATGTGTAATAGTAATCTGTCAATCCCAGCAAACTGTTTGAGAAAAGCTGAGCAAAGACAACAGGTACCTCTTTTTTGTGAAGAGATTATCCTTGCCTTTTACACTCAGGAGGAATTATTTTCTTTTATTTTGAAAAACCTTATTAAATATCACAGAATTGATAATAAAGTGGAAAATCAGAATACCATAGAGGACCAGATAATTGTTCCATAAGTCTCATACCTGATATCAGCCAATGGCCAACATCAGATTTTTCAAAGAAAATTACTTCTACAATTCCTTCTTAGGAATTAAAGGTTTTAATACAGTACCAGGCACTATGGAACAGCCACTCAACTGTAAAGTTGTAAAGATACTTCTTCCCTAAGGTTACTCAGAATGTGAAGTTCTCTAAAATCTACACACATAGTCACTCTGCCTTGTTATAATCCAGGCCAAAAACAGTAACCCATCTTTGGGAACATTTGGCAAAAATAATGCATGGCTCAAGCCCCAGACCTTCAACTGTCAGTCAGTCAACACTTAGCTCAGATGCTTTGAAGAACTTTACCAAAACAACGATTTAAGGATAAATTAGGCTTATAACATCAGAATGTATAAAGTACATGTGCAACAAACTAAAAACCTAGCCAAGAACGTCCTGCCAGCTAGTTTTACCAAGCTTGATTTTCTTTCATCACATTCTCCCTTTTCCAATCTGAACCCAGCTGTTGGAAGCTATTTGATGCTCTTTAGGAAAGAGTCTGTCTTTGTTAATTTGTCTTAATGATTTCATGGGTACAACCTTGACTTACATTTGGATAACAGAAGTGAAATTGTAACAAATCAAAGCAAAGTAGAAAGCAACACAGTGATAGGTATGGGGTAGTTTTTAAAATCTGAATACATGAGTAAAGACACCAACAAAGAGAAAATGATCAGGAGAAAGTATAATTTTTGAAGGGGAAGGGAAGTTTGTCAGCCCTACTCAATGTTCATGCACGTATGTGAGGAGTGGCTCCCTAGTGGGGAAGAGGAGACTGAAGGACAGTAATCTCTCTCAATGCCTTACCTGAATTTGAATCAAGGTGCAACCTCTGCTCATAAATACAGAAAGAGTTGAAAGCTAAGAAACACTTGGCAACACAAGCCTAAGTTCTGCTATCTTTGAGTGACAGTCCAAGAAATAGAATGTTACATTCTATCTTGCAAAAATATACGGGAATATTCTGAGGACATGTTGTATGGCATTATAAGACAGACTGCATAGATTTCTCATAGCTAAAAAGGGCTTCTGTTTCACATGAAAAGAAACTGGAAAAGAAACTGCAGCACCTCAGCTATGTTACCAAGCTTCCTTTGTTTCAATAAGCTATGGAGTTAGCAGAGCCACAGTAACTCACTAAGCCTGCCATAAACCACCATAAAAGTAAACTATTTTAGCCTAAGATAACGTCTATGTATGCGTTTGCCACATGTTTAAACAACGAAGCTCTGTTGACGTGCAATGATTTGGGCACGTGCCTGAGCCTTCCATGCGAGCAAATGCTCTCAGCTGAAAGTTCCATCTTTCCCAAGTTGTGTATTGTACTAGGCAACAAAATATCATCAGACAACTTTTGTTTTGTAATAAATATTTATTTTTTTCAGCAAGAAAGATATATTCATAGGCATGTATGTATCAAAAGAATCCGACAGCAACTAAATTCAGCCTTCCTAAAGGGAGGCCTTCTCCTACTCTTCTGTCATGTGAAATTTGTATTGAATTACTTGCTCAGCGTGGGTGGACATTTCTAAGCCACGGTTTCATAATCACATAGCCACACAGCAGCGCCTTTTTACAGCAACCACTTTAAATTTGCCATATTACAGCGCATTCAAGATTGTTTCCCCCCCCCATTGCATAATCCAAGCCTGTATCTGCACCTGTCTTCACACATAAGGGTGTTGTGTTGACTTTGTGTCTGCCTGGATTACTTAAAACACCCTGCTGCTTCAGCATAATGAGTGAAATATGCAATGGCTGGTTTCCCACAGGAGAGGAGATAAACGTTCAAAACCCTACAAATGAAAATAAAAGAACCTGAGGTAAGGTCACATTCTTAAGCGAAGCAGCTCTAGCACTAACTCTGATAAAGTCAGACTTTAACGTTCTGATAAAACCTACTTGAACAAGCCACACCACGTCAAGCAAACTACTTTTAAATGGCCGAAAATAAAATAAAATAAAATAAAATAAAATAAAATAACGCTTTAGCTAGCTTTCAAGTACATGAAATAGCGTGTTTTGAAGGAGAAAATGACTCGTACAGTTGTTGAAATGAAACTTAGCTAAGAGGTTACTTTTCCGTGACCAAAACCACCCTGCCGGGGCTGACAAAAAGACGCCACCCCGAGGTTTCTGCAGCAGTTTTGCAGCGCCTACGCTGCGCCAAGCGAGGCTCGGGCTCCGTGCGAGCCGCGCTGGGCCGGCTCCCGACAGCCCGGCCGCATGGCGGCGGCGGGCCGGGATCCCGGGCGGGCGGAGCGCGGCGCTGAGGGAAGGAGGCGCCCGAGCCGACCCGGGAGCAGCGGCCCGGGAACCGCAGCTCCCGCCATTCCCTTCGCGGGGCGCGGCCCGCCGACCCGGAGCAGGAAGCAGAGGATGGCGTCCCTTGACCCCAGGGCGGCACTGAAGAGGGAGCGGGGAATGATGGAGGTGAGCCGGCGCCGGCAGCGGGGAACCGGGAGCGGGCGGACGAGCGCGCGGCTGCCTCAGCGCCCCCTCAGCGCCCGGCCGCGGGTGCCGGCTCCCGGCGGGGCGGGCGGCGCTCCACGGGCACAGTCGGAGCCGGCCCGGGTCCCTCGGGGCGAGGCGAGGCGGGCGCCGCGGGCTCTGTGCAGCCGGGACGGGACGGGCCCCGCGCCTTGCGGTGAGGCCACGGGGCAGAGGCCGCTCCCGAGAGGAGCTGCCGCCTCCCTGCTTGCGGTAGTGCGGTGGGAAGGGAAGGCAAGTGCCTGTGTTTAGGGGAGGGACTTGCTCTCCGCCTGCCTGCCCAGCACAGTTGCTCTCAGGTGAAGGGGTGGCTGAGTGTTTGTGAGGCGTATTTCGAGGAGCAGTTTTTATTACCTTTTCACCGTTTTTATTTGACTTGTTGCGGTGCAAGAGTGACACTCTCTGGAGAGTTTATCTGATACCTTTGACACTCAGATACTATCAGAATGCACCGCCAATTTTTTTTTTTTTTTTTTTTTTTTTTTTTTTTTTTTTTTACATTTTATTGCATACATTTCATACCTTTTGATTGTGTTTTTAATGAAGTTTTTCATTCTCTACCTGCTGTACACAGAGTAATTAAATGAAGCCAAAACAAAGCATTGGTTTTAGAGACAGCCGCTAAAATATCTTGATTTGAATTTTACAACATCAAATATTTCTGTATGTAACTGGTTGTTTATATATTGTAACAATTTAAAGGATTTTTTGGTTGTAAAACATCTAAGCTTTATCTTGAACAGATATTATTTATTTACTCTTAATCCAACAGTTTAAGATAGTTCCCATTGTAAATATCTTAACTAAGGCAGAATTATGCAGTCTTTCCTTGGACATCTGAAAAATCCTTTGTGGATTTATAGCTGTAGTCCCTGTTTTAAAAAAGTAAGGATCTCAGTCAATCCAGATTTTGGCAACATAAATGAAGCATCTACGTAGCAGATTTCCTTAATATCATTAGCTTGTGGGTTAGGCTTGACTTCAGATGGTAAGCAAGCTGTATGTCATATAGACTAGTGGTTTTTCAAAACACCGATATAAAGGGAATAGGTTTTCCTCTAAGAAACTCCTCTAAGACAATAGGTCTTCCTCCATCCTCCAACATACTGCAGGTACCACTCCTTAGCATCTTTGAGATGGAACCAAAACGCTTTAATCTCCTTCTGGGGCAGTGGATGGGGATGAATGGTTGTGGTGTCCCTTGCTGGCTGTGGAGCTCTCTGACTGCCTCAGCCCTGGGGTAGCCTCCTCTGTGGTTGCTACACTTTCCATACCTCTAGCTTTATCATAAGATTGGATGTGTGCAGTAAGACTTAAAATAGCAGGAAGCTGACTTCAAGCAGGTAGAACAAGTTATTTTACATAAAGCATCACTCATGAGGGATCATTTTCTGTGTTTTTCCTTCACTTTCTTTCAAATCCTGGCAGTGTATAGGAAGTAGAACAGGATGGCTGAGATTAGTTGATCTATCAAAAAAGCTTTTCTCAGCTGCCAGATGAAAAGGTTTATAGGAACAGCTGGGGTTTCTTGTTTATTTTGTTTTTTAATATTATTATATCAATTGCCACACAGAGGAAAGTAGAAGGAGTTTGGTGTTTTGGCGGGTGAGGGGCTGTTTAAAGTTGAGCTATTAAGATATTCCTTTTGACCATAATTGCTATAAAGGCTCAGGTATTTTATCATGAGCAGTGCATAGTCAGGGAAATGACAATGTTTAGTATACAGGGCCCACGAGGAGGAAAGAAAAAACAAAATTATTCCAGAAGCAATGGTTAACATTTATATAGAAAAGAGTGTCAAAATTACTTCCATATTAAAAAAAGATGTGCTGCAGACTTCAAAAAGATTTATCCTTTTGTTCAACTGTTTGCAAAGTGGTACAGAAAAATTTACATGCCTTAGGGCATGGAAAACATGCATTATTAATGTTATTTTAAAAGGCTCTTTAACTTCCATGTTGCCAGATGGGATGAGAGAAGTGTCCTGCACTGCAAATGGCCTCCTGTTTGACACTTATTGCTTGCTAGTCTGGAGCCAGCCTTGGTGGATGAGGAAGGTTGGTGACTCTAAGGTAGGTACTAGAAAGCTGATGTGATGTTTACATTCCATAGCATAAAAGGCTGTGTGACACCTGGAAATCCTTTGTGTTTGGACACCCTAAAGCATGTAACTGCTTGTTGCTGCAGTCCTATTTTTATTAAGAAGTCTGAGATTCAAAATTCATTTGCAGATCTTTCGATTAATAAGGCTTGCTTTTCCAGCCTAGATAATTACTTTGTGTGCTATAGGTCTCATATGGGTTTTCTTACATATATCTCATCTTAATTGTTAAGGCAACTTAGGAAATTAAGTAATTAAATTAATTTGACAAGGTTACTGCTTAATAACCTAACAGAGTGTGTACTCTGCTCATAAGTATAGTATTTCATTTCATTAATTAAAAGTTAGCCCATTCTGTCAAAGCTAAAACGTATTGCTAAATGTAATATTAGGGTAACCTAGTAAAGCAGAAGTTTCTTTTTAGAATGCAGCTTCATTTAAATCAGGTATTGGTCTATAGCTGAAACAGTTTAGAGCTTTTAAAGAGCTTGTAGCTTGGACTGAAGGAGAAGCTTCAGGATACAGTGAGTACGAGGATGGACTGACTTTAACAATTTTTTCTTACAGATGTTTGAGAGAATCAAACGATCTGATGGAGCTTCTGCTTCTTCAGCACAAGGTAAGAAGTTGAAAAAGTTCAAAGTAGTTTTTGTTGCAGTTACATTTGAAAATGTAATAACTATCAATAGAAATATTAGTTCATCTTATAGTTAAATTGCTTACTTTAATTTCTTAAATTTCATTATGGAACTTGGATGGAAGGAGTGACTTCTGAATCATCCACAAAGTTTCCATGTAGGTGTAATTTTCTTGTCCTGTTGTAAGCTGTTTGAGACACTTTACGTTTTATCTCAGTAATCATGGATGTTGCAGTACCAATGTAGATTACCTAGTCTTGAACCCAGACAAATCAGTAGAAAAACTCACTCATCTCAGCTATGAAAGAGTAAAGCTTATTTTATGAAGTTGTTGGATGAACTTTGCTGACAAAAGGATCTCTTCATGCTTTTTTGAACTTACTAAACCTTTTATCTTCCTTTAAAATAATAGTTTTGATAAATGCAGTGTAAGAGAAGTAGCTAGCTGCAGGTGAATCTCCTTGATACTCTGTTGGTTTTTGTGTTTTGTAGGTGTGTTCGGTTGGTTTATTTCTTGGTTGTTGTTTTTGTTTTTCTGTAGGAATCCAAAGACATGGTGTTGAGAGCTCTCCACGACAGGACAGCAGTAGCAGGTAAGTTAGGTGATGATCTACCTGGCATCCAGCTTACTGCTTACCAAAGTAAAATGGGAAGAATCTGCTTTTCAGCCTGTCTATTACCTGGTGTAATGGATGACAGTGACACAAAATGAATTAAGTGTATGGTTGGAGGTCCTTTGTATCTTACACCCGTGTATTGTTAAAAACTGTGGGGAAGGCACCTTGTAGTGCCCCAAACAACTGTTTGGATGTCAAGTTTTTTTGGTCTTTTCTTCTTTTATTTCAAAATACTAACAAACAGACAAATGACAAGATGACTGCCTTTTTCTTTAGAGGCAATTATTGTCAGCTTTCAGCTAACTGTGCTTTCAAACTGTTATCCTTTGTTCTGTGTTTAAGGAAAAAGTTCCTTAGTGAAATTTGCATGAGAATACTTTAAAATACATAATCTCACCATTGCAATTCTAAAATAGAAACATTTATCTTCAAGTTTTTCCCATCTCTGTAGTAAGATAGATATTTAGACTTTCCATGCTAAGGACATGGATTAAACAACTGAACGTGTCCTGACAATATTACCTACTTCTTTCAGTTTACACAGAAGAGGGCAAGAACATCCTGGGCCCGGAGCCCCCACTGTGCGAAATAGACAAGGGTACTGCAACTGTTGCCACGTACACTACAGCAATCTGGAACAGGTGAGACAGCTTCTGCATAATTTGGCAGCAGATAGCAAGGGGTACCTAGGGCTTTATCGACTCATAAATACCAGTTTCTACACCAAACAACCAATACTGAGTGAAAAATGAGCAGTTTGTGAATTGCACAATACGTGTCCTGAGGAAGACACCTTGCTTATTTGTTACCTGTTGTAAAAGATGCCGATGGAGTGGCACAGCTGCTGCAGTCTGCTTTTCTGAAGTGCCACGCAGCTCTGCATTGCTTCCATTATGGTTTTCTCTGTGTCTTTAATCTTGAGATCTCTATATATTTTAAAGTATTAGCGTTATAGTAGTATGTTACATATCAAGGCTGGAGATGTTTGATCAACCATTTTCAGTTCTTTTGTCAGTTTCCTGTCTTATAGACTTGTGTAATGAGAAAGTAGAAGCCTATTTATCTTCTGCACTTAAAATAGACTTGTGTAATGAGAGTGAATTATAGGATGTTTGCTCATGTTAAGTTCAAGAATATTATAAGTAATTTGTAGATACATTTATAGTATTTGTTCTGGTTAAGAGACTTGTGAGCAGCTGTGAGATTTGTGAGAGTATTTGTACTAGTTAGAAGAGATTTGTCAGCAGCTTCCAGAACCACTAATTTAAGTTCCAACTCGGAAAGATGCTTCAATACATTCTAGTATTACTTGGGACTGACTAAACATACTTAAAAATCTCAATTAAGATTTTAAAATAGTAAAAGAAGATTTTTCTTTTTATTTAAATATTTTCATAGCAGTGGTGTAATGTTTAACCTGGGAAGGAATTTTTAGGAACAGGCCTGTGTGTTAGCAGTAGTATTAGATTAATCATCTGTTGCATCTTTCACCAGCATATTTTCAGCTCCCAGCACAGACATTTTACAACATACTGCAGGAATCGTACGGGTACCAGTAGCTTGATGGAGCGTTTCCTTCAAGATGTTTTGCAGCATCATCCCCACAGATACCATGACAGCAGGTATAATACAGAAAGCTTTTTATTTTAATATGTGTTAGTGGAATGCATGTGTTTTGAATTTCTGTATTTGTTCTACTGCTGAGCAGTAAATTTGGCTCATTTGAGGTGAAACATGCTCCATGGAGACAATTACTGTTTATATGAAGACAAAACTTCACTAGTTATGGATTTGAAACAACACTACTAACAATTCACTTTTAAATGTGAAGACCTGAAAAAGGAGGAATATATAGGTCAGCACTTACAATGGCAGACTGTACAATCTCACATGCATTTACAAATTCTTAAAATTTGAGCTTTATATGTTTTATTCTAAATATTTTAATTCTGGGCCTTACATATACTGCTAAACATATATACTGCTAAACATACATATATATATATATATTATGTATGTTTTGAAAGAGCTCATAATTTTGGTTTGTTGATTATGTCAGGTAAGTATTTACATGTTTATTTTTTCATTATCCTTGCAGTTTGCCTGTTTAATTAATACTTGAATGAAATTAATTGGCCAATTCATTAATGCTGAAATTTTAAAAAGTGTTCTCTTTATTTACCATGTGCATGTTTCAAGAGTGATAAGAGGATCAGTGCGTTAAATTTTTCTCTGTAGATGAAGGAAAATCAATTAAACCTCATTTGTTGTGTTTTGAAAGGCAGACAAAAATCCCAGTTTGATTCCAGTACAGTACAGTTTCTCAATATACAGCTCTGCTATATGTCTTGACAAAAAGCAGAAAGGTGTTTTGTCTGAAAACACTGGTTGGTATTCTCATGGATGTGCCAGAACTAGCTAATATGCATGGCTATGCCAGACTAGCCCAGGATATGTTGTACACATTACTACAAATAAATAAATTGTCCTCCCATCTTAAATAAATAGATTTTATTGCACTGTTGAGAACACTCACCGTTTTTTGCTGTGGAGAAAATATAGGATTCATTTTAAGTCAGGCTTCTCTGGAGGTGTCACTAATACAAGGTTGTTGCTTTGGTAAACAAAACCTACTAACAAGGAAAAGCAATCTACCCATCTTCCTCTAAGTTGTTGGAAGAAGGAATAGAATGAGAAGAATAATATACAAAATCTAGATTATGTTGGAGGAAGAAGGGGCAACAGTAATCCCAAATCTAGACAGAGTTTGGAGGAAGAAAAGCAAAGATGGAAAAGAAAGTATGAATAGATTTATGCTGTGGTCCTGCTCTGAAAAGAAAGTCATGGTCTTAACTGACACTTGAGGTAAGACTTTGATTCTCTTCTTTCTCATGTTAAAACACTTGGATTTATACACAGTTTCACACCGTTCTTTAAATACCTGTTTTTACTCTTCAGATGAACTCGTACAAGAGATCTTTATGTGTAATTTTAAAAGATTATGGAAATATTTGTAAGACTTGATTTGTTTTACAGAACCAGTATACGTAGTAGTTATGTGGAAAAAGGAAAAATTCATCAGAGCTTTGCCTTATATTGAATTTCAAAGGATATTGTTGTTCTCCCCCAGTAAAAAAACAAAACAAAACCAAACACCCACAAACCATCAAATCATTCCTTCCTCCAAACACTTGGTATGTAAGTTTTTTACCTAAGGAAATAGTATTGAGCATTTTAAAAAGTAAACCTTTATTCTACTTAAGGGGATAATTTGTAGCAAAACTGTCAAAAGTTCCTAACTATATAAAACTGTCGTTCTGTTCTCTTCCCCCCAGGGACATTTGCTTAAAAGTAATTTTTGAGAAGTGCTTGTAGGCTGTTAACTGACCTAGAAACCTAGGATTTTGCTATAGTTTCTCCGTATGAAAATCTATTTAGTTTTATATTCAGTCTTTCAGCAGGGTCCAGATGCCAGGATGCAAAGATGTTTCACACAAAGATGGACAAACTCCGAAGTCAGGAAGTTAAAAAATTAATTGTTGCATCTGGCATTCCCTTTAGATCCTATTTCAGAGCTTAGGTGACCAAGAATTCATGCAAGGGCAAAGCAGCATTTCAGATGATAGGCATTGTTTGATCATGTGATGTGTTTGATTACTTTGCATTAATTTAGTAATAGTTCTTTTTTAATGTTTCATTATATGAGGTTTCTCTTGGTTACTCAGCCCTATGTCCCTTAGCTGTATGTAGTCTTAGTTATATAACCAAGGAAATTACTGTACTATAAAATTTGTTCACAATACTTCTGTTAGCTGATGTCTGCCATGTATTAAAGTAAGCATCCATTTGGGTCTCACAAGATGGTTATAATATTCTCTTCTTCAGTTGTATTTACATTTTTTAAAAGTTGTTTTCATTGGATTTGCCTGGCTGCTACACATTGAAGCCTTGTGGGTTCCTGTGTTGCATAGGAAAAATAGTCCATATCTGTCAGCTGTGTTAATTCTGGAAGACACAAACCCTTGTGTTTGAGGCAGTCTTTAAGACAGAACTGCCAGTTACAGAATATATAAAAATCTGTTGTCACAGCAAGGCTGAGCAATCCTAACTTGGCTTCTTGCAGGAGTGAGTCAGGAGCTATGGTATGTCTGAGAAACAGTAAACATGGAATTCTTTGGCCACATGTGCAGAGTTCCTCTCGGGCAGCCATGTTTTATAGGGAAAAGGGCATTTATACTCAACAATGGTTTTATACTGTGTCCTATTATTATGTTCCATTTCTCTACAAAAGCTCAATTTTAAGTAATGGTAGTATGACCAGTGAAATCACCTCTTTATAGGCTTACCACTCCAAACAAAGGGAATACTTTACTTTTTCTGCTGTGCTGTATTCATAAAATTATTGTAATCTATGTGAGGGCCATTCTTAATTTATGATTGCATAAAGAGGGTGCTAGACTAATGCCCAAATTGTTATCTTTAGTTTTGTGGAGCATTTCCCCCTCCATAATTCTGAAAAAATTGAATATCTCTGAGGTAGATAGAACAACAGAAATAGTAATTTCAGTTTGTTCATTAGAAGTGATGCAGTCTAGGTAATGACTCTTAAAAAGCCCGTACACTGCTGTTGTTTGAAAATTTTTAAGCATATTTACAGTATTTCTCTAACCTGTTTTTTTTATCCCCTCCCCTTTAGACCAACCTATGATGACATGCCATTCCCCGTCACTCTAGAGGCTCCTAGGATTTCTTGCCCGTCCTCAGAAGAGATGCAGAAAAAGAGAAATAGTGAGAAACAGGAGAGTTCCAGCAAAGACCAGGAGTCCCTTCGTGAAATAGGTTCTTCTGTTCCATGCCTGTCTCGTGAGGGTACAAAGAAAACTTCTGTTACACAAGCAGGTTTTCAAAGACTTCAAAGAGACCAGGAACGTGTTCCAGGAATATCCCAGCAGTCTGTTGGCATTTGTAGCGATAAGAAATGGGTAAATCTGAAACACGCTCGAATTGCAGATCAGAGCCATGAAGGCCAGTCTACAGCTGTGAGCCCTGTACCTCAGCAGTTTTCTCTCAGTCCTACAAGCCACAGTTCCTCTGTTAATCCTAAAACAGGAAAAAATGTTAGGGATTTGGCAGCATCAAATCTGTTTCTGCATAGAGGATGTGATGAAAGAGCAGGGGAGGACTGCAGTAGGGATATGTTATTGAAGCCACGCTTGAATCGTGCTTCAGCACTGGTTCACCCAAAATGCCCTTCAGTTTCTCATCGGATTCCTACATGCAGCCACAGCAATTCTTCCTTTATTACCTCAGGTCAATCTCTCTCAAAGCGAGATAGTTTACGAACTCAGGATGAAACTTTGGTGTCTGATCTCCATCTCAGGGATACTGTGGGTATCAGCAGCTCCCTTGATCTTGGGACATCCCCACGGCTAGCAAGATGCAAAAACATAAAGACAAACAGAGGTGATGAAAGTTCAGTGGATGAAACTATTGAAGATGTAATTGTGAAATACTGCCATGAAACTACATCTGAAGAAATCTATTTCAAAGAAGAGAATAATCCCAGTGTACCTTTTTCATCACTTCTGGACCATACTAATTTAGAGGGCTCCGAAATGAGTTTTGACTGTGATGCACCAATACAGGTAGGAACAAATTTACCCAAGGCAGCTATAAAAGATATAGAATTCCTGAAAGAAGTCCAAGTATGTTTGCAAGATAAAGACTATGGAACACAGCTCTCTTCTGTTTTAAAAACGGAGTCATCAGAGAAAATAGAAGCAGTGAAAAAGGATGTTGTAGTTCATACCGAAGAACCAGTTCTTCCAGCCCTGCCTCATGTGCCTCCTTCTTTTGTGGGAAAAACTTGGTCTCAAATAATGTATGAAGATGATATAAAAATTGAAGAACTAGTGCGTGATTTCAGGGAAGGTCGTTTTCGCTGCTACTTTAACAGTGAATCCTCAGCCAACTGTACAGGGAAGAGAATGAAGAAAAAAAAGCAGAAGGATGAAAAAAGGATCAATATTATTGAGGGTAATAGAACAGAAAGTGCACCAGTTAAAGCACTGCCAGAATTTCATGATGCTTTGAGTGGTGGCTCTGATTTTGATAACCCATCTTTAGCCTCAGATACACTATGCAACCCACAAATTGTAAAAATGCCTAGGAAAAGGACGTGGCGCCTGGCCTCAAGGTGTCAGGTGGTTAAAGTCAGCCATGGCACACAAACAAGTCTGCTGAACTACCCTGTAGCAAAAAGGAAAATGTATAGAAGGGAATCTGATCCAGCTGATCAGAAAGCAAGCATTGCATGGCTGGAGAACGAAAAAACTCCAAACATGAAAACTAGGCTATGTGCCCTTAAACTTCCAGAGTCCTATAGCAAGATCATGAATCCTGTACAGCCCAAGACAGTGGTATATGTACTCTCGTGCCCAGAGGTAAAACAGTGCAAAGGTAAACCTACAGATATTCCCAAAATGAGGAAAAATCATCACTCCACAGATAGCAAGGACTCGGTAAGATATAAATACAAACAGTCTTCTCTCAAATATTATGACCCACTGACAAATCGAATTCTGAAAACACCTCCAAAGAGTACAGTTGGAGAAAAGGCCAAAAAGCCCTCTCATGTTCGACAGCTTTTCAGAAGTCTCAGCTTTGATGCAAACATGAAGAAACTAGCTGATACACAGAGAGAGAGCACGCCATCAAAGTCACTCAATTGGTCAGACTTCTGTAGTTCTTCAGCATCTTTCCTGCCCGATCGAGATAAAGGGAGTGATGCAGCCTCAAGTCAAAAGGCAGATGGACCATCTGTTGCCACAGAAAGGACAGATTGTCTTGTATCTGAGAACTCTTTTAAACACCTAATCATTTCACCTTTGAACTCTGTGATAGAAGGAGATTGTAGATTAATTCCATTTAATAGAATTACCAAAACTCCTCTGACCTCCATCAGGAGTGAGTGGTCAGAAAGGGAGACTCCAAAAGCAATATGGAAGAGAAAAGAAGGCACTAACAAAGAACCAGTTTTTTCCAGAAAGGCTGCAGGATCTAAGTCTGTCAGATGTACTCTTGCAAGGAGAGGAACCAGAGTAACCACAGGCAAACAAACATCCAGGACTAAAAAACAGCAGAAAGAGGGGATGAGAAGACAACTTCAGCCTTGTGCCCAGAAATCTGCTTTCTCCATCCATAGGTGCCAGACAAGGAAAACTACAGTGGGAAAACACCCTAAGAAAGAGAAGCCTGATGCTAAAAAATTAAAGGTGAGGAGGAAACCAAAAAGGGCCTTTCTGAACTCAACAGTTGTAACAGGGATTCCTGAAAAAAGGCAGAAAGTCACATCAGAATCTTTTCCCAAGAAACCAGAGCAAGCTTCCTCCAAAGTCAGGAACTGGGAAGTAAGTGGAGATCGGGGTCATCCTGGCACTGTGAACCGACCCTCTAGAAGAACTTCTGCTGTACCATTACTTCGAAACTGTCTTGTTCTACCAGGTGAGAGCTAGCTACCAAAAGAACTTTTTTCTTCTTTTTTTTTTATAGCCAGCACCTGGAAGAAGGAAGGAGAAAAAAAGGAGGCCATAGACAATGCAGTTGAAGTGCTAGAGCTCCAGAAAGCGCAAAGCCAGTCTAATGTGAAATAAATAAAACTGTAAACTCAGCTCTTGTTCCTGGAATATGGGGGCACTATGTATTGCACTGTTCTACTGTGTAAAGCTGCAGAAATTGTGGATTTGATTTAAAAGCACTTATAATCATACTTACTAGTCTTCACCAGTACATCAGCAAAATGACCTTGAATGGTATCATATTGTTATTATGGTATTATCAGTGCATAACAGTGCACTATAATAAGGTAATTTAGAAGCTGTGTTAATTAATTGTGCCTATTTTAATTTTGTCAGTTCTAAAATGCAGAAGATAACTCAGTTGCTATGCTAGAAATTTAATGAAGATACATCAATCAGGGCAGAATTCTGTGTATGTATTTTGTGTTTGTGTATATGTGCACCTTCTTCAACACATAATATATACTTGCCTGTGGAATGGCATTAAAATTAATACAGTATGATACAATTCAGATCAATTCAATGCTTTCTTGAAATGAAATATAATTTTACACATTTTTGTATAGACTTTGTTCCTGAAATCATGTCCAAAGCTTTTTTTTTTTGGGCTGAAAGTCGCTGTCGGCTCTCATCAAGCAATAATGGACCATGCTGGTAAGGAAATATGTTTCCTTAGGGGACTGTTCAAATGGTGGTAGCTGAAGTGAAATCTTGAATTCTGAAAGAAATACAGGGTTATGTTTGGGGGCTTTTTTGTTTTTTTAATAGCTTGTTGATTAAGTTTGTAGGTGAATTTCACATTCCTTAGTGAGGGGGATGGAAAAGTTATAATGCAAACAAATAGCAGTAAGTTGTTTTAGAATGTCAGCCTTGAGTTTGGGGTTCTGTGCTTTTCTAGCTCTATTTGGTGTAGTGTTGGTTAAATTTTTATGGACTAGAGTTCAAACTTTCTTTCTAAATATTCAGTAAAATATTTAAATAAACCTAACACAGCATCCATCTAAATGTATTAGAGTTCAAATATTTGGTTAAAAACCTGGTTGAATAAAAATTATATTCCACAGCGATTCAAGTTCGGCCACTGATGTTCCATCTACTATGGTTTTATGGCAAAAAAACCCCAAACCCATGGTGGTTTAGATTTTCTTTCTTTATTTAATAGTTGTTATGATGACAGTTTATTTGCTGTGGTTAGAAGACATAAAGCCAGTCTTATGGATGTTTCTGTGCTTTAAAACCGAAGATTAATGGTTCATTTACAGTAAATTAAGCACGCAGTTAAACATCATCATAATCCAGGCTTTGGTTTTCAAATCTTCAGTTTGATATATTATAGAATCTATTTTACCTTGAAGGTCTTCATAAATTCTCTAGTGGTACAGTACATTTTTCAGAACACAAGAAAAACATGGAAAAGAACAGACCCCGCTGTCTCTGGCATTGAACATATCTGTGCGTTTTTCCCTCAGAAAATGAAACCATTCTTGATTCTTCATTCACTTCTTTCTGAAGTGTCAAGGGTCACAGATTTGGGCTGAGATAAAGGTAGACTTGGAAATGGTTTATTTTAATATACAGTATCTGAAGGAAATATAAAAGCTGTCATCATAAACCACATGTTCAGAGAATATTTTGAGGATGTTTTTAATGTATATGCCTAGTTCCTAAGATAAATAAAAGATGTGCATGTGTCAGCTGGAAAATAAGTTCCTTTACAATTCAAATATGGTCTGACAGATTTTTTAATTTGTTTTGTTTTAATTTATTTTATTTTTTATATAAAAGTTGATTTCTTTGGACGAGTTTTCCTATGGTTGTCTGTAGACACAGAATCATATGACTGTATTGCAAGTCACTGGAAAATGAAGGGCTATAATATAAATTTTTATAGCCCTCAACTAATTGTGCCTGTATAATTTAATATTTTGTCTAATATAAAACTGATGTTTTTAAAGCAAAGTTTTAAAGGAATGGTTTTTATAGAAAGGCTAATTTTTAGATAAAGCAAAAGAAGATTTTTAAATAAAGTTTGTTTTAAAGCAAAGCTTTAACTATAGATAAGTCCCATTCTAACATATTTTTATGATACAATAATGTTTTCCTATCTAACTTCTTCCATCTTATTTTTCACAGTATTTCACATGTGAAAAGCATGAATTATTTTGTGGGTGAATAAGTTTTAATGCACATTGTACTTTAAGAACACTAGTGTGTATTTGTTTAGAGTCAAAATACTGTTCTCTCTACTCATTCATTGTACGTTTGTCTTATTCCAGTGCACAACTTTTCCTTGAAATCTTGAGTAATAAAGATGTGTTGAGGACTATAAAATTACTAATATTTTTAGACTGTAATGTCTTTTGTTTTTGGTAATAGACCCTCTTATCAGGGTGGGATTTTTAGAAGAAAAATATTTTATTTAAGTAAGAGTGTAAGTAGCTATATATTTTCCTTTAAAAAAAAGAAAAATGAAAAAAAGTATGTAAGAATTTATTAGAAGAATAAGACTTGAGGTACAAGTCTGGAAACATTTATGTGGTTGATGCTGGCAAAATAAGATTTACTGTAGGCTTGGATGTCAATCTGTGCCTCACTTCTGAATGTTCAGAAACCTCTTCTGTGCATGCTCAATGACCACTAGGAAAAAGAGGAAAGACTGATATGAGAAGTAAAAGTAGAAACTGCTTTGGAATGAGAATTATGAACATATTTGCAAAACAAAATATTGCCAAGATACTCAATATCATGTGCAAGAAGGAGAAAATTCTGAGGTCTTGAGAAATAGGCAAGCACTTTCCTGTTAGATAAGTAATGCAATTTCTGCCCTTATGGAATAGAACATTGTTTCATTAGCAGCATGGCCAATATTTCAAAATGTGGTTGTGAAGTCTACAGCAATGGTAAACTTGAGAACTAAAATACTTTCTCTCCAAAACTGGTGGGTGGGTTGGTTGTTTCAGGGTGATATTTCTTGTTTCTATTTTTGTTTGTGTTTCTTTTTCCCTTTTGTGTGTGTTTTTTTTGGGTTTTTTTTTTTTTTTTGTTTTTTTTGGGGGGGGGTGGAACTGGGTTATTTTAATGTTAGTAGACAAAGATGTTTTGTCAGTATGTTTGCATGTCTTAATATAGAGAAACGAGAAAAGAGCTGGAGTAGAGAGGAATAAAGTCACGCTTTTTGAATTAAATTGGCAGCAGTTAGAACCAGTACCTTCTTTAATAGTTGAGAAGAATGTTACCATTTCTTCTTCGTTACTTACGCAATTTTGACCTGTACGTTTGTAGTTTTTATTATACGTTTCATAATTTTTAAAAAGTCTCTCCCTGCATAAAGTACTCATTCAGCCTTTCAAAACAGTCTTATTTTAAGCAGATTTTTATTATTCATTAGGATTGTGAACCATGGGTGTGACCCCATCATATTGTGCCAGGTGCTAACCAAACATAAAATAGCAATCCCCCAAAATTTTAGATAGCTGACACTTGCACCTCGCAGTTCTTCAGTTAATTTTCTGATAGGATTTTTTGCTCTCTTGTTCTTTCTGACAGGTTTGTATCCAATGTTCTGGTAATTGTGTTATGAAAGTACCTCTCTCTAGGACTCAGATAAATGAGGTTATTTCTGTTTATAATGAGCCTATGGCTTCATCTGAAATTGTGTTTTAAGTTTCATGCTGAATTTGTGCCCAAATGAGAATGTGTTTTGTGGTTTTTATGTTGTTGTTATTGATAATGTATTTTGCAATAATTTTGCTTGATGTTGTATTTTTTTATCTGCTTCTCTATCTCTTTTGTCTGTGGTTGTTTGACACAATGTGGTTTTGTAAGGATACAGCGATACTACAGACTCATCCAGTCCTGTGGCTGGATGTTCTTTCTCTGTATCTTCTGCTCATTTTATCCATTGTTTTTCTGAGTCATGCATTTGGATTTCTTATTTTTATGTTGTAAAGAGCTAAATTTCAGGGCAGTATGTTCTGTTTGGAAGTAAATCTGACGGGTGACAGGAGAGGATGTTGTCCCAGTCTGAAGTGCAGAGGGCAGGTTGGCACAGGTGCTCCTGTGCTTGGGAGCTGCTTTGCATCACTGAACAGTGTGAAACAGGAGTGGGATGATGATTTTTGATTCCTTTGCCGGTCTTCCTTTCTTCTTCCCTTAGGGTCGCTGTGCCTGAGAACAAAGTAATCATACTGGAAATGAGGGGTTTTCGGCTTTTGGTGTTTTGGGGACAGATAGGAAAAGCAAAATGTATCTCTTTCACTAATGTAACTAAAATCACTGAATTTTTGCCTTTAATGTTTTACCTGCTGAATTGCAACATTCCTGATAATATTTTTCAGAAAAATATTTGTAATAATAGCATAGTTCTGAGCATGCCCAGAAGCAAAGGTTTTGTTCCTTGTTCGTTTTGCAGTTATAAATTCATTCATTCCTTCAGCAGAACAAATCTTGTTTTAATAAAGTAAAGATTGAATATGTGCTTTTGGAGTTTCTTTATTCTTGAAGTGGAGTTTACCTTGAAGCTATTTACTGTAATTTGTTGTGGAAAGAACACAACAGAATGCTATGAAATAAGCTACTACTATGAAGGCAGACAGTCGTAATTCAAGCAACTGTTCACAATGGTGTGATATCTTGACTCAGTGAAGCCAAGATTCATCCTATTCTGTGCCAGCTGAAGCAATGACACTCTAGGATGGCATTGAAAAGATGACAGATACATTTAAAATGTCTAACTTCATTTTGGCAGCATGAAACCAAGAAGCCTCAACCACATGGCAGGCCAGATGCTTGCAGCGCTTACTCATTAAGAGTTTTTTGAGAATGTGCATTTACTATATGAGGGCAGGGGCTGGAAGCATTACAGTCTTAAGCAGCTTTCTACTTTATGCAAAACAGTTTGGCATCTGTAATCATAGACCAAATTAATGCAGGCAGAACTCTCTTCAAAACTGTGTACAACAATACCTTTAAGAGTATGGTAAACAAATTATTGGAATGCCTTGAACAGTATAATACCTTGTTCTGTACATTTGGTAGTAATTTGCTGTTTGTAGCAGTGCCTGGTTAAACCAGTGTGATTTTTTTTACAGGAGCAACACACAGAGATGTGTCAGATCAGTAAATGGCTGAGAAGCAGAGGCATGTGGTTTCCTGAGGCTTTAGTAAGTCATAAAATTTCAGGACACACTTTGCAGTTTTCAGTCCATGCTTGAAAATACCCATGTATTATGTAGTTGGCTGAATGAAGTCAATACTGTGCTATCAAATAGTGATTAACTAAAGAAATAACTGTTCAGCCATCTAAACATGGACTTTCAAGCATGATACTATAACCAAAGTTTAAGTCAGGTGATCGCTCTTTCATGGGAAATAAAAGCAATTAACAATATGCTTATAGAGTGTAGAAGGGAGATCCAATCCAAATTGGTGTGTTTCAGAGTTATGATGGAATTAATAGCACAGTTTTAGTTGGCTTGGGATTCATTGGAGTAATTAGTGTTCTAATTATTGTGTTTTGATGGTTCTGGAAGTCATAATTATTTCTTGGAGTGCAGAAGCATTTTTCATGAAACGTACGAACACATCATTATTGCAGATTGTGATTTAACAGTTTCAGCATTTCTAAACTTAGGTTCTTTTTTGTCAGTGTTCTACCCTTAAGAAAAACTGAAAAACAGCTTTTCCCAAATATTGGGATTCATAAACAGGCTTTTCAGTATCACACATCCTCAAATATAATTGTGTTTTAATGTTTTAAAGCTGGTCACCTTCTCATATTTGCTGTGTCATACTGCATTAATGTTGGCACTGGTGCATCTGAAAATGTTGGTTATAGCTTACTGAGTTATGATTAATATTGCACAAAAAAGTTGCAGAATCAAAATACACCCTTGCTAGCTCATGCAGAGAGCTTAAATACTGTGCTGGCCTGGAGATTGTGCTGTGAGAATGAACAGAGAAGCTGAAGCTGTGGATGCAAGGCATGTGTATGTCTTGCTTTTTATTACTCTGAAATTTTAAGATGAAGAGGCATGTAGAAGTGATGCATAAGGCTTAAATATGTATTTTAGATTGAAACTAGATCAATGAATATTCAGCTTCAGAGGGTTTTGGTTTCATTTGGTTTGGTTTTTAGTGTTTATTTTATCTGAACTTTGGCAAACAGTTGTCAAAATCCATCTACTCCTATAGTGGTGCAGCTCAGAATCTATCACTCACTCTTCTGGTATGTTACTTTTATTTGCTTAATGCATGGATAATACTTCTCTTTACTGCTGCTTGTTTCATACTTTCAGACACTGGCAAGAGGGGAGAAATATTTGTAACAAAGGTTGTGCATGTACATCTTGTTGAAGGCTAAAGAGAAAAGTTGTAAGGCAGTGCATGGCTACCCGCAGATTTCTCCACATGCCAAAAGGAGCTTTCTTAAAATTCAGGTCTAATGATGAGTCAATCAATTGCCCAAATGGTGATAGAAACACTTTTCATTTTATTGGCATTAGTTGCAATCTGCGTATAATTAAAAATAAACATACTGACTTTTTGGTGACAGATAATTTGTAGATTTCTAAATGTATCTGGTGCTTTAATTTTTCGATCTGTTCTAGCAAATTGCCATTTCCAGAGTTACTGCCAACACACTCTAGTTCTGATTGAATCTGGAGTCAGGGTAATAATGGAGTCAAAGTCAGCATATTTTTACCTACCACAATTAGTTACTGTTCATGCAGCACTTTCTGTAGATGTAGAGAACTCTTAAGAGTTTAATATTATCAAGAATTATCTTCTGTATTATTCTTATTTTAGGCATTAGTGTTAAATTTATTTTTAAAAATGCATGGATACGTTTATATTTTTGTGAATATAAATGTGTATTTGTCATTGATAAGCATAATATTTTTTATTTTTAGAGCTCAAAGGAGAGCACTAATGAAACAGTATTTTACGTATTTTTGTTTCCAATTATACAGAGACTATTAACTTTTTATGTGCTTAGCAAATTTCTGTTTTCCTCCCTCACACTCCACCATTTTAAAGTAAGAATTCATCTGCAATGCAGAGTTCTCCATCTTTATTTTCTTGGAGTATGGTTTGATGACTGTCATTCGGCTGTATCACAAAGATGGTTTTATGTAATTATGTAGTTATTGCATATGCCTTCATAACTGCCTTTGCCTTTTCATGGAAGCTGTAAAGGGGAGCCAAGGATCTCTGTCTGGCCCTTGTCCTTTTGTCTTGTTTTATTGCCTACCCCATCCTTCTCGAGCTCCCTATGCAGCCAGTGCCTCAGCTCCCCTCTTTACCTTTATTTCATTGAGCTCTACGCTATG